GCCTCATACTCTGCATCTAGTGTGATGTGCCATGACATGTATTAATATTTTTCCTTCAGTGTCCTTCACTAATGCTTGCAGTGGGTATAGGTATACGTGTCGTGTGCCTTCAGGGCTTCTTACGCACGTGCGCGAGACGAGCGATCAAATGCATTTCACTACCCTTCTTTTACCCCCTTTCTTCTGTCTCTTTAATTCCAATTCCCCCATTCCCTGCGCTGAACCGTGGAGGTGCCCTCATCGAGAGAAACAGTAACGGAACAGCGCTTATTTCCTCATTTTTCCTCTTTTCAAAGTCAAAGTCACTTCGTGTACCTTCAGGAGACTATTATCAGCTCTTCGCTTCTATTCACGTCTCTGTTTATAATAACGGTTACGCTTTTACAATAATTAACAGTTATCATAACTGGAAAAGCCCTACAGCTACACTGTCATTCAAAAATAACAAGAAAAGGACAATTCTTAGTTCGAAAACGCGTCGTTTGTTTATTGCGTTTCACGTCGCCTCTTGAAGTGCACAAGAGAAAACGACGTGTGTAGTTTTATGTAGCTTGTAAGCAAGTAATTGCATGGAATATGCCTACGGGTCAGAAGCTATAGCGCTGCCCCGCCACGGTGGTCTAGTGGCTAAGGTACTCGGATACTGACCCGCAGGTCGCGGGATCAAATCCCGGCTGTGGCGGCTGCATTTCCGATGGAGGCGGAAATGTTGTAGGCCCGTGTACTCAGATTTGGGTGCACGTTAAAGAACCCCAGGTGGTCGAAATGTCCGGAGCCCTTCACTACGGCGTCTCTCATAATCATATAGTGGTTTTGGGACGTTAAACCCCACAAATCAATCAATCAATCAACCAAAGAAGCTATAGCGCTAAAATGCACGATGAACTTCAAGAATCAAGACATCGTAACGTCAAAGCTAAATCTTAGCTCATGCCCAGACATAACTGTGTAGTAGCATCTGTTATTACGAACGATTTACACTGCATCTGAAAGCAGAACACGCAGAGTAGTGTCTTTTTCTTTGTTCTTTTTTCACGCCGAAAAAAAAATACAAAAGTGCGCAAGACTCAAAATAAAACCTATTGATTACGAGTATGACAAAATAACACGCCAAGGTTTATTTTGAAAATTAAACAACACTTTTCGTCCGAACGAATTCGATACGATCTGATGCGCCGTGCGGTGTGACACAGCGGATTAAGTTTTGCATTTTGTCCCCCTTCGAAATAATGCCGCGAAACCGGGAATCGAACCTGCGCCCTCGAGTAACAATATTAGCTAATCTAGTATAACGTTGCCCCAAACAACCTCTGAGATGTTAACCGCCTCGACTGAGTCACCATTTCACTATCCACACGCCAATCTAACTTTATCTAATATTTCCCTTAGCTTTCTGTACACTCTGCGTGTGTTATAAGGGCACAAAAACGACAGCAAGGTAAAAGATAACTACAAGACTGCTCTGTAAATACCGGCCTACGCTGTTTATTAAACGAAGTAAAGGCAGAAAACCGACAAGTAAAGCACGAGATAAGGATAAGCTCGGTTTGTGAATACGGGCCTTAGACTGAAGTGACGAACATGGCGCACTGAGCGAGTTGCCAGGTTGTCTGTTATTTTTCAAACCGCCGCAGTTTACTACGAGTTTTAACGATGTCAGCATACGCACGCGGAGGCGTTTGCGAAATCCGCGCAGTTGGCGTCGTCGTTCGCTCAAGCGCAGCATCATCGCGCGTTCAACGAGGCGTTGCCTGCTGTCAAGAGCGGTCGCCGGAAAGGAAAGAAAAAAAAAAAAGAAGCAAAATCTGCATACCTGCGGCTACCACGGCCAGGACGAAAAACACCACAGTGTAAAAAAGGAAGAGCTCTTACAGCCAAGTTGCATATGGCTAGGCGGAAGTGAAATTCGTCTGCGTTAGCGCACGCAAACTTCTGTAGCGGAGCGCGCATGTGCCACAGAAATGGGGAAAGATAAAAAAAATGTAAAGGAAAGGAAGGAAGGTTAACCGGGTAGGTTTAACCCGGTTCGCTACCCTACAAGGGGGAAGGGACAAGCCACGCTGTTCACCACTGGTCCTTTAAAAATGAGGAAGGAAACACACAGGCGGCAAACATCAGTCAATGTTTTTGAACAGACGCAGTTAACCGAATAATCAAGAAACACTTTAACAAACCACCGGGATTATAGCCCACAGATAAACAACAGGGCCACACGTTTCAGCTTCGCTTGTTGACAAATCTGTACGAATATAAATAGGGCGCTAAAGCCCAACAATATATAGGATATAAGGCGGCGATATTTTACTCGAAGTGTTTGCTTCCTTTGTTTTTTAACTCAAATAAAGTTTATGAATCAACTTTATCGATAACCTCAATTTTGTACAAAGTCATTGACTGAAAGCTGGCTTTACCACACAACCTCGCTTATGAGTTCTTAATATTGCTTGGCCTCGGGAGTTCTTCGTGTTCCGGCCAGTGGTTATAATGTGCGAGTGAATACGGTAGGTCAGGACGTCACTTGCTTACGGTTGACAAATCAAGGTTCGGAGACGGGTGTGCGTTAAAAATCTATCGTAAAAACGAGCGTTACTGTACAAAGAATGTCCGCTGGTTATTCCGATGGCAGGAGAAATTTCGTGCCAGTTTCAAACGATCGTTATTGTGGCCCTTTACAGCCATTAAAAAATACAGAAAAAGGAACATGCAAAATAAGCAGATAAGAAATCCGCATAACTAACGAATCGGGCAACAAGCCAGATTTGCCGGTGCACTTCCTTCTCCCGAACTTTGACTCTCACTTTTTTCTCGCAGTGTAAAGAGATGTACACTGCTTCCGTGGCCAAACATGAAATAAACAGGTCTCTACAACGCACGTCACAGTGTTTATTTGAGGAAGAAAGCCGCTGCCAGCAACACCGAGTAGCACAAATACACAGGCCGCCATTAGAACGTGACTTCCCCGTTCCAGCACAGAACGCACTCGTCAGCATACCGAAGCGGGAACAAACACCAGCGCAACTGCACAGGGCCCCCAAGTGTAAGGTCCACAAAATTACACGCACTACGTTGCATGAAAAATTAGAAATCGTACCTCTCTTTTCATTTTCTGCAGAACAGACGCTGGAAAAAAGCTCACATTTTACGTATACGCGCGATGCAAATTCCACCTCGCGTGTAAACCTTATACTCGTCTAAAAGAAGTGCAGGCACTCAGCCAACCTAGCTGCGAATGCCGACGCACAGTTCTCAAAACAGGATGTGCTGGGTTGCTTCCAGGGAGATTCAACAAACAACACAATGCATAGAAAAGAAAGTTGAAAAAAAAACAAAAAAAAAACGCGCGGAACATTTCAACGGCAGTCGTGCATGGACGCATGAGTCAACTGAAGAGAACCTGTGATTACACGTCTTCGTCAAATCGAATGACGCGCCGCAGACTCCCGTCACAATGGATTTCGCAATGTTCCGCTACCAAACCCTCCTTTTTTTTTTTTTGTCCTTCATATCATAAAAATGCCTTCCTACGACACAATGATAATTGCACAAGGTCCTCATCGCACTAGTCTGTGGGGCCGGCCCTTCAAGCGAAATGTAAAGGGACAGGGAGTGTTGGGGGCGTGGCTGCACTTTACCAAGAGTCCTCGACAATACATACATACATACATTCATACATACATACACATACGTACATACATACATACATACATACATACATACATACATACATACACACATACATGCATGCATACATACATACACCCATACATACACCCATACATACATACATACATACATACATACATACATACATACATACATACATACATACATACATACATACATACATACATACATACATACATACATACATACATACATACGTACATACATGCATACATACAAGCAAGCAAACAAGCAAGCAATCCATGCGGCTTGCGCGTATGTATGACTTAGAGCAACGCGCATTCACCAGCACAGTACTCCTGGAGTGTCGAGCGGCTAATTTTTAATTACCTCAAAAAAATTTTTGCAACCAAACCGACACGCTTCCGATTTTCCAGAGACAGGAATATCGGGACGGCGGTTATTTCCACGAGACCTCGGTCACTGCAAACGGGAACATTTCCTCCACTTTACGCAAGAATGCCGCTAAAAGCAAAGCGTCGTGCTGCATGACGGGGAAGTTGCGAGGAAAAATAAGGCCTGTAATAAAACTGAACTCTTCCCGTGCGAACATTTGTTTTTTATTCACTTTTTTTCGCTTAGCGAGCACAACATAATACCGCCGTGCGCGAAACCGGGACCACCCCCCCCCCCCTCCCCGCAGACATCGCCCGGCGAAGCGCGCGCGGACATAGCGAAACCAGCGGACAGTCGCCGGGTTGTGGCGATTCCTAGCCCCGCCAAGACAAACTCTTCTAAACAGGGGGGAGAAACGAACCGAAAGCGAGGCTGGCGCACACGCTGGGTTCCCGCATGAACCGAGGCATTGACCTTCCTTGGCTCGCTTCAGGCATCGATCCAATGGAAAACTGCGCCCGATTGCAACGGGATGCGATGCCGCGGCGGCACAGCTTCCGTGCTGCACGGCGAGTGTTCCGATCAGCGACCGCTTTTTTAAGGCGATTCAGCTACGATTCGAGGATCGCCTTGTGTCGCTCGAATACGGCCGAGACGATCGGCTTCTTTTGCGTGCGCGAAACAGCGGTGCGGCACGGTCCAGCGATCAGTGGGAAGGCCGCCCCCCGCTTAGCTCCTGCCCACATCGCAACGAGTAGGAAGCAGGGACGATGCACGCGATTTCTTTTCGCGGCCACAGGTGCCCATCGAAAACGGGCGAACTGGCGGTATTCGCGCGCGCGGAGACAGGTATCCGTGAAACAAATTCGCGCACGGTTCCGTACAGTTTCATACAAAATAAAAAAGAGAGAGGGGTTCGAGAAAGCGAGATCCCTCATACTTTTTTTTTCTCCTCCTCCACATCGCGACGGTTCTCTCACCTCGCCAGTGGTCCCGTCTTTTTGGCTCTTTGACTGAGAATCCGCTCCACCACGGCCAGGTTTCCATTGCGAGAGGCTTCGAGGAGTTCCTGCTCTTTGCCCATGCTGCGGAGTATCCCCGAATCGCAGGTATCACACACTCACATTGCGAAAGCACAGCTGATTAAGGACGACGCACGGCATCACCACTCGCACGGGAGGATACATCGCAGAGCGTAGCTGGCGGAGTCGGGGAAGATGGCTTCCGTTTGCGCGGTGGTAGTTTGGTTTCGAACTTGTTCACTTTGTATATTTTGATATGAAAATACAAGTTTGTTGTTTATGTTATTATTATATCATTGTTTTTTACACTTGCGTCAAGTTGTTTTGCAGTTTTATGCATACAAAACTGAAGCTATGACTTGACGGCTTACTTAGTTGTTTATCGATGGTTTATTGAGCGCGCTCAGCCGCGGGGATGTGTGTTGTGCCCGTTATGAAAGATGAGTGGCTCTCGCGCAGTCCTATTAGATGGTGCTAATTGACGTAGATAAACTTTGTTTGTGAATTTTCGTCAAGATGAAGCCCACTGTGATCGCGTTGTGCTTTCTGTGTCTCTTCCACGATGGAGAGTCTAAAGGTAAACAGCTCTCGAGTGTGGTACAAACGCCACAGGTCGGTTTCCCGCGAGGGATCTTTTATCTCTGTGCCAGTTCAAGTTGGTCTTGAAAGAAAAAAAAAACTGATTTGAGAAGTACCTGCTGTTTTTGTAATTTATACGCAGACTAAATCATCCATAAGAGAGAAAGGCAGTGACACAAAAAGTTTATTATCGGTGTAATCTTTTTGTTATGACTTTCCATTCTTTATTTCTTTCGCTGTTTGTTTACATCCCGTTTCTTTTCTCTCTCTTCTTTTAATGTTGCATAATGTTTACATTTTCCTTTAAAAATCGGTACTATTGTTGATCCCCCTCGTGGGTATGAGCCAGTTCTCCTTAAGCGGCAAAACGAAATACAGGTGCGTTTCGACCGAAGGGGCGTTTCGACCGATGACATCACAAGTCAAGTCCGACGTGTGGTGTGCTTAGTGCTACAGTAATTCACACTCATTTAACGTCGCATTTCATCTTGCAGGCGCGAACGCGTGCTCAGCGAGGCATAATCAGCTGAGATAACGAGTTAGCACCTTGCCTTTGACGCCGCATCCGGTTCACAGTGTCCTAACTTTATCTCCGACTCATTAGTGTCTACCTGCAAAACGTTCGTGCGGCAGCGATTGTCCGTATTATCTGATAAGCTCACTGTAGGTCATGCCGAAAAAAAAAAAGAACGAAGCGCATCGTGGAATCAACAATGCCGGTAATTCCCTCCGTGTCGATCGAGTGTACGATAGCGCAATCGAATGTGTGTCATGTCCTTTGCTGATGATGCGGTCGTTGGCGGAGGGGGTTGCTATGACTTGTGAACTCGCCTTTATCAGTGCGATTGACGCCGTAGGGTGCCCTAGATATCACTTATTAAGTTGTACAACAGCTGTCGTTAAGGGTATGTCAGAACCGACCTAAAATTGCTCAGTCATCGCTGATACTATCCGAAGCACGATCATAACAGGCTAGATGCCTAGACTTTTTGCCTAAACACAGTAACTAGCCGACAAAGTACTGGGGTTTAAATTGTTTTCTTCATAAATTTATTACAAATTTTCTGTTGGCAAGCAATATCGCTTTTCGGCGACCATATATTTTCTTTTCTATCGTCAAAGAACAAAGATACACAAGAAGATGCTGGTGAAAAGTGTATAACGGGAAGAACTCATGTGCTCGATCCTACTCACTGCTTAATGTCGTTATAGGCCCGCAGTTCTGTATATAAAGTGCGAATAGTTTTCGAAAACACAGCAAGATGTCATGCTAGTCATAGACCATAGACCTTCTTTTAATCAACATACTCAGTACACAAAGTGGTCTCAGTCTTGCGAATTTGAGGTCTCCTCCTGTAACTACATATCTGATATGTAATGTATCACAACATGGTGCTTCGAATAAGTAAATCTTGAATCGCCTTTGTTGTCTTAATGCATAGTGTACAAATGACGTCACAGACAGGTCTTCAACACTGGGTACCCAGACAGGGTAGTCACTGTGACTTTGTATCTCATTAGGTTGGGTCAGTGCAGGGGAGGACTTGCAGTCGTTTGGTCCCCCATTCTTTTGTGCTGCCCACCAGCCTTCTTCTGTTCACCAGCTGCGCAAAGAGTGAACACAAAGGAATGCAATGGGCACTAACACTAATTCGACGTCGCAGTTTCTTTCTCTGCACGTTCGAGTATGAGTGCACATGGCGTCTAATCCAGCAGGTACCCAGACATGGCTGCCACGGTGACGTCAGTGCACACTATCTATATACAAAAGAGGCGGCATGATTCTTTGTTTGTGCAAATATCACCAGTATTACCCCGACTTACTCTCAACCCCCGTTTCTCGTTGCAGGTCAACTGAATGCGTCTAAGGAAATTGGTGTCGATGTGTCGAGTGGTTTGAGGACGTACCTTGTGAGGACTTCATTACCCGGACGATCAGTGACACCATTTCGTGCGTACGGCATACCATCGGATGCAACCTATTTGCTCTTCCAAGCACACTCGCAAAATGCACCTGTGACTATTGCGTACAGTGCCAAGACACCTCCCGACACAACAGCGAGTGATACGGGAACCAACACTGGCTTGGTTGTCATGCTCAAAGCATGGGATACTGACAGCACCACCTACGTCCACAATTCAAATATCGACAATGTCACTGTGCTTCTCGTGGTGTCCTTGCACGGCTCGAAAGGTATTCAATTGCTCCGCATTTCATGTGTATTTCGCTCTTCATGCATTAATTAGAAGACATAAAATCTGCATCAAGTCAAGTTTATTGGCTAAAGCTGTTTGAATTGTGTCGTAAGATTGTTACTGCGAAAAGTTGGACACCTTCGAAAGAAGAAAAAAATTAAATGCTTGCACAAGACGCTCAATGCTCAACACAGCGATGCATGGGCCCATGGACTCTCATGCAACCCACTCACTGACACATCTAGCCTCAAATTTGTGGCTTCTTTCTTGAAAGTACGCATTTAAGGATGCACCATGACACTCTGGACACAATCAGGCTCAGCCAGACTATGCACTATAGTACAGAGGTTGCCCGCATTGTCTTCGTTCTTAGGCGTGGCTTAGCAAGCACGCTTGTATGGCTTGGGCAGGTGGTGTGCTATCTGGTCACTAATCGATACGATGCTTGCTTCTTTTTTTTCTATCTTCTCTCTCTACTTCTTTCTCTCTCCTTCATTAATGTTCTCGACGTCTTTTTTCTTCATGTTACTCACTCTTTGTTTGCTACGCTTTACTGTGTCACCTCCTTCTTTCCCTCCTTCTCACATTCACTTCCCTTTCGCACCCCCTTGCTACATTATACTACACAAGGCTGTGCTGCGCTAGTGTGCCTTAATGGCTGAGGGATTAGGAAACTTGCCTTCGAATCAAAGATGTGCGGGTTCGAATACCGCCTCATGAAGAAGAACAACAAAACTTTATTTTGAGGGAAGGGGTAGAATAGGGGTTCTAGGAGCATGTTGGTTGGGGCCCCAAGTCCAGGGCACCACTGGCTTGCACCGCTCGTCTAACATTTCTCAGAAGCATTAATTGCACCTTTGGGTCCGGGCTAACAAGCTGTGCCTCCCATTCCTCTGAAAAAAGATAAACTGATTGGACCTAACCTAGCCGAGAGCTTAGCTTTAGCTCGAGATTTGACGAACCGTGCGGAGCGTCAACCTCCCGCGATCCAGTCCCATTTAATGACCCCTCATGCAGAATTTTTTAAACTGAAAAACTGTTTAGTAAAGTGTTTCCTATGTGTCGAGCACAAAAAAGCCATGATGATTTTAACGGGTCTGGGCCACTTTGTGGCATATCAAAAAACATCATAAAGAAGTATGTGCCACAGAAATCGATCAGATAAATCCCACAATTCGCCCCATTAGTAACCTAAATACTGTGATACTGCAACCTGAATACTGTCTGGGCTCTGCGCAGCTAAATGCACACTTTGATCTTTTTTTTTTTTTTTTTTTTTTAAGAGCAAAGCTGTTTAGCAAATCCTTTCCTGCGTGTCAATGCAGGAAACTATCATTATCACAAATGCGTATATGCCAAATAAATTGCGAAACTCCTACTACCCTACACTGGTCCACTAAAAACGAAGAAGGCAACAAATGGCTGCAAAGCTAGAGCAGTGAGCTGAAGAACCAGAATACATACAAGAGAATTCTAGGTAGCGTGTAAGGCAGCGGCAGCTGAGAAGACCCCCGAAGCAATGGAAGGTCTATGCAAATGTGCCCGTGTCGTGTCTGCGGTTCAACTTGAACTTCTCTGCACTGAAAATCGATATCAAAATAATCTATCATCACTTATTTAAAGCTTAGCAATAACCCAGAAGCTGCATCACTTCACAAAGGCCTAGAAGCAATCAGATTAGTCTTCAGAATCATCCACTTTTTCTGTTTCAAACCTTGTGTGGCTTACTGCAAGTCGCGATTTTTTTTTTCTGCAAGAATTTTCTGGTTCTCTTACTTCATACTATTCTGTCTCTCTGTACTTATTCTCACACCCGTTAGGGTTATTGCAGGCCACACCACAACGTTGAGTTATGGGATTGGCCCAAACTCTGTGGCATATACCTGTTTACGGTGGTAATAGTAGATGAGTCGATATTTTAAATCAGGGCTGGCTTAAGTGGTCTTGCGAATTAACAGCGCTACAAATAAGTACCTCCAGCGCTTACTTAAATACTGCAATTATACAAAACACCAAAAAGTATGAAATGCAAACAGTGAGTATAACAATTATTTTGATTACACCAGTGAAATTAATGCATTGGTTAATAGTAAGGATAACTGATAAAAAATGTGGACAAAACTGAAAGCATGTCAACAAGTATGATAACAAAAGTAATATGGTTAATCAACCTGACGTATTACATATATTGATTCATTGTCAAGGGAAAAGACTGCAGTAATACGTTCAAAGTGTCGTACAGATGTTGACATATAACTAGAAAAGTCAGATATGTCAGTTCATTTATGAAGGAAACTTTCTGCATGCAGTGAATGAATAAATATGGTGCCAATATCTTATTTGAAAATTGAATGATTTCACACTTCGCTGTGGTCTTATTTGAAATTTTAATTATTTCAATATTACAATGCCAGAGAAGAGGGTTTTATACGTACCTTATGGCTACCTAAGCATTCTCAAATTATGAATGGTAATCTGCCACTAACCCTCAAGAAGAAGGTATATAACAGCTGCATCACGCCAGTACTTGCCTGCGGAGCACAAACTTGGAGGCTCACTAAGGGGATTTAGCTTAAATTGAGGACGACACAGCGAGCGATGGAAAGGAAAGTGATTGGTGTAACCTTAAAGGAGTGCTGACACAAAATTTCGGGGCCGAGATAGCCTGCGGGGTCGATTCTCGTGAACATTCGTATATAATCTACAAGATATCAACAGAGAATATAGCTTGGAAGGAATTTTAAATTGATATCGAAATTTGCGCGAGCGACCGACTCCATAGCGCTATAGACACCCTCGGAGGGGATACCGAGGTGACCTCCTACTTCCCTCACGTCACCATGCTGCGGTCAACAAAACAAGTTATGATGATGTCATAGCCGCCTTTTTTCTTTTGCCGTGTTAGTTCCCGAAGTCTATATTTCTCGGCGGCTGGTTGCGAGTGTGCGGCCGTGGCGCACACTTAGAAAGTTTTGTGTTTGGGAACATTTCAGTCCCGTTTCCTGTTCGAAAGTAATTCTTGATGCGGACCGTGCGGAAGTGCGTCACAGTTTTGTGTGCTGACAAGGTCAAGAACTGCAGGTGCTAGGTGGCGACAGTGAAGGGCCTATAATTAATTATCTGTCGTGTGCTGCTGCAAACGATGTGTTGTGTCATGAATAACAGGCCCCCAGCAACGCATTGTAGCAGAAAAACGCGAGGCCAAGGTTTTTGTGTCAGTACCCCTTTAAGTGACAAGAAGAGAGCAGAGTGTGTCAGGGAACAAACCGGGGTTAAAATATTTGAAATCAAGAAGAATAAATAGACATGGGCCGGGCACGCAGCACGTAGCTGGTCATTAAAGGTAACTCACTGAATTCCCAGAAAAGGCAAACGCACGAAAGGGAAAGTTTGGTGGGCCGATGAGATTAAAAATTTGCGGGTATAACGTGGCAACGAAAAGCACAAGACCAGGTTGATTCGCAGATCATGGGAGAGGCCTTTGCCCTGCAGTGGGTGTAGTCAGTCTGATGATGATGATAATGATGGCTGGAAAAAGAATGCTAGTATTATATTCCCTCTTCTGGGAATTATGATTGACTGTTGCAAAACAGCTCATATTTACACAACATAACTTTATGGCACTCGATGTTACTATCCCTAGGGAAAAAAATTAGGCAATGCATTGTTTTGTGCATTTTATGACTAGGTTTAATTAGCATGTAATTATATATCTAATTATGTTGCCATGAGTTGTGCTACATATTTTGCATAAAAAATTATCATTCAGCTCAAGATGCATACCTAGCTAGTTTTTTTTTTTTTCATTGTGTTGATTTTGTGCCAAGAAAAATAATACTCGTGACTTTGGTCCTGAAACGTGGCACATTGAATGATAGTAGAGCAGGGTATTGTCTCCAGCAATAAAACGATAAATGAAGCTGAATGAGTGCTGGTTGTTCACTCAAGAAGCATATACAAATATGCACACTGCGTTTTAAGGCATATGAGTAAAACATGCGGCAGTTTATGTGTTCAGTTGTGCACACCACTGCTGAAGGGAATATAATGTGGCATAGTGCTGTTGCATGAACACCAGGGTCATAGCCAGGACAGAGGGGGCACCCACGAAATGTGACAACATTCCTCCGAAATTTCTATCCACCAAGATATTTGGTATCATGCATGTGTGTGTGTACATGCATGTGAAGTGTGTACCCATACGATCAACGTATTTTTACCAGACCCAGTATTCCTCTTCACCGCAGTAATCACTGGCTGTGATATCAGCCACTCCATAAATGCATTCACATATAAGAAAAAAAAGGCCAATGGCTTCCACCTTCAAGTCATTTGAGGTGAATACATTGGACCATCGTAGTTTATTTTTAATTGCTTTTAATTTACTGAGGACTTCAATGGATGGGGATTTGAAACATATCAGCGAGTCTAAGGCTAGTGGCTGCTGTTTGTAGCTATCGAGCTGTGGGGATCCGCGTCACTGAAGCCTGTATCTTTTTTCTGTGTTCATTTCATCTGTTAAACTTTATTTTTAAGTTTTTAAATAAATTATTTTTTCCGCGTGCGCTGTGTTGTTGCCAGACCCTGTGCCAGGCGGCTGCAACATGGAGTTCCCCGTTGAAGTGTCACCCTTTCTCCGACTCGTGATGAAGACCACAGAACTGGCCGTGGAGTTTCAACATGCCAGCGGCGGTGTGCCCCGTGAGGCCCAAGCACCTAAGTGCAGTCGGAACTTACCGTTTTTTCGTTACGATTTGTATGTCTACTACCTTGACCAGTGGGACCTCTCAGAAGAGCACTACCTGGAGGCCGTCTCTAAAATGCTGGACCCTTCTTCAGTGAAAAGCAATGCACACCAGGTATGTAGCTCCAAAGCTTGTTATCATGAGAAGGAGAAGGCTCATACAGGACGGTCACCCTAGCGCACCCCCCAAATTCGGAGGGAGGTCGGTGTTACACTGAGGACAAATAATAAAAAATTAAGCATTTTTTCAAGGACTTCAACAAGTAGCCCCCCAGCCCAGGAAAAAATTCCTGGCTACTGGCTTTATCATAAGCATTTCAAGATGTTGCCGTAAAATGTCAAACAAGCAAGCGCTTGCTCGGTCCAAGAGTGAAGTTCGAGATGATAGCGGGGAGCTGCTAAAAACAAAAAAATGCCCATCACAGTTCCAAATGAAATGCTTTATTTATAAAGCATTTTATCAACAACATTAGATAAGCATTCAGCGTGCTCATTTCTGCAGGTTTTTCTCACAAGTGATGCTTGAAAAAAAAATGTGGCCACAAAGTAGAAGGGGGGGCACTTGTTTAGGTGGGGGCTCTTTCTTGGCATATTACGGTACTTTCACAAACTTTTGGAACAGCGAAGACTTGCAGTGAGACCTTCTACATATTTTATGCAAAGAAAATAGTTTGAATATTATTTCAGTGGCCCCTAGTACAATATTGCTGGATTTCCCATTCTTCAGGGGCTATGCACAACACGACTGTAAAACCCCATTTCATAGATCATTTGCAATGCTGTGTTAGCTAAGGAGACTTCTGGCAGTAAATGAATTCACGCCGAGAAATAGCTCAAGGATTTTACCACCTGTAATGTGAGCTTTTTTTTTTAAACTGAGTAATAAATGAAGGTGCTTTCTGCCTTAGAAATAAACAAACCCTATTATTTATAAGGTTGTAAATAGGTTGTTTTCGGCACTTATCATGTCATTGTTTTCATATCATGGCCTCTGCAATTAATTCCGGCAGTGTGTAGCCACAGCCAATCGCGGAGGCCACATTTACAATGACAAAATTCAAGCATTGAATATGAGGGCTTACACATTTTGCTAACAGAAGAAGTTAGATTTCATTGTGCTGCACCTAATGTATGAAATGGGATGGAGACCTTTTCACAGACGTCGGCCTGGGCACCGCTATAGTCCTCAGTCCTCTCTGAGCTGCAATAAATTGGCGTGACTACCCCCCCCCCCCCCCCAAGAAAAAAATTGCACTGCCCAGGCTGTGACATCAGCCTTTATGAACATGCACGCAGCCCCACATGATGGTGTTTTTTTTTTTTCTCTCTGGTGAAAAGGTTTATAGAAACTATTTTGTTTCTCCTATGTAAAGTATTCCGGGAATTTTATTGAAGCATTCAACTTCTTTTTCTGTTTGCCATTTGTACACATAAAGCTCGTTATTACAAAATTGCATTTTACACAAAAATAACTCAGTTATACACGAAAATTTGTCATAGAGGTATATTCCTAACACTGTGTCAATTGCTGACTATTGTTCTTTTACTTTACTATGACAAATATTTTGTTAAAAATGGGTTCGGTATATCAAGGTTTAAGCACAGTAGTTCTTATTTGGTTTAGTGAGCATGCATAGCATCAATTGTCTCAAAGAGCCATTTTCAAATTGTTTTATATTTATTTGTGGTAGACTGCTTTGCAGCGTCACATATTGGTAGTAGTTGCCCCACTAAAACGAGCCAGCAAAACAAACTATGTTTTCATTGTCCTGTTATTGCTGATATGGAGGCTCAGCCACAAATTTTTATTTGTGGCTGAGCCTCTACATGTTCCAAACTCTGTGGAAACAGGCGTGCTACACAAACCTTCCTATTCCAACTCCTTGTCCATTTCATTGCTTCGTCTTGTCTACTGACGTCATTTTAACGAAATACTGTGCCACAAAGGTAACATTGAGCAAATTCCACAAATACGTTTTTTGAAAATGGAAACTGTCATGTTCCACCAATAATTTTGAGAGAGTCCTTTCACCTTTTAAGTACTCCAAGAGTTCTTTGCCCTTATTTAACATGCTCTTGCAAGTCCAACTGTTTACCGCTTTGCTCATGTTGCGCATTCATTTAACATTGTGGGTGGGTTGGTTGGTGAAGTGACTGTATTGAAAAGTGGTGTACATCTTGATGTCACCTGAATACCAGGTGCCATTTTTTCATTAATTTGAGAACATATATTTTTTTTATTTGGTAGTTTTCTTGGTTTTTTGATTATTTGTAGCTTCAGGCTGCTCTTGGAGATATGGTAATACCGTAAGGCTTTGTAAATTGGAAGTCACTGCAACTGTGAAAAATTGTCGAATTGAGCAGGTTTTCGGAATAACAGAACATACAAAAAGTGGGATGCAAGGAAATTGAAATTATTCCAAGTAATCAGGGCTGCGTTTGCTGTGCCGCCTAGTTTGCGGCTCCAAGGGTAATATTTTCCAGCAATACTTGGTCATAATCTCGCCGTAAACAAGGGGGATAGCCGGGCCTTGCTTCTGCCACTACAAAATAGAAAAAAAGATGTGTTGTGATAAACTGAAATGTGCGCCTGCAAAAAACAAGACATTGCCGAAACACTGTAGTGACACGCAGGCAGCACGTCGCCTGCTCTTCGTTGCGTTAGCACATCATGATGCAATCATTTGCCCATTATTTCTGGTAAAATAAAAAATTTGTTAATCAACAGAAATGCGCAATGGCTTTTGGCTGGAAAACATGATCATTGAAGCTTTCGAACCTAGTTTTTGAAATAGGTGTTGCAAGCAAGAACTCCGCCAGCAGTGCAAATGTGCTAATTGCTGGAGCAAAGGGAACTCGTAGGCTCGTATACATGATGAATTCCACCAGACTGTCCTTTATTAATTTCTTTAAATTTCGAAAAAGAACAGGTAAGTTATGACGCGCTGACGTTGCAAGAAGCATGCGACAAGCTGCCTGTGCGCCGTTGCTGCGTTGCAGTGGAGCACGTCGTTTTCTCCAGGGGCACATTTCAGTTGATATTGGAGTTGTTTTAATATATATATAATTTTATTTTTCATGCTGGAAGTAGTGAGGCTGGAGTGCTTCAGCTGCCAATCATTAGTATTACTATAGTACATTGCCTAGTGGCTCTCAAGGGCTGTAGCTTCTGTGGATTTGCAACAAAATTAGGATTGGGAATCGGCACACTGCATCGAATGTTTTCGAATTAACCAGACTGGTGATGACCGCCGTTTAAAATTATCCACTCAAACTTACATACAAAAATAGGGACCACGGAAATACTTCAAATTAAGTGGGATTTCAAGATAACCGAATTCGAATAATGAGGTTTTACTGCATTTTCTATTCATAACGGTAGCATAAAAACAAGATTTAGCTTTTCTTTAACTCTGCCTTTAAATTACTTCTTTATCAATATTCATTTCTTGCATGCTGTTTCTTTCAAATTTCAAAGGTGAAAGCTTACCGTGAAAACCCAAAGACCAGGGCGCTGTTCCTGACTTACCCCGGGGAAGGTGCAGTGTATTCCGTAATCGTGGAGCAGGTGACCTGGGATGGCACAGTTCATGAGGCTGCCTACGTGCCAGTTGCCACGTACGGCTGCTTGTGGTACTCACAGTCCCAAACGTGCCGGCGACTTGGTAAGTGTAGAGAGCACACTTTGTAGGTGTGAAGGCTGCTGTGTACTGGGAGTTGAGCATCTAACTTCCTATGATCTCTTTGATTATGTCAACTCATTGTTGTGTGAACCTCTCCAGCTGCCCAAATTATTGGTGGAGACACATTCTGAATTAGAACTCAGTCTGGATAGTTACCAAAATTAGGATGTCATAATCTGTTGATGTTATGTTTCGTCAGAAGCACAGTTATATAACACATTTAATGTGCCGCGCTTCTTGATTCCATACCGAATTATGGTCACATGCAGCTGCTACAGAAGTCTATAGAGGACTCTGTCCAGGTGACTGAAGCACATCAACCGCTCGCCTCCATGACTAAAAAAACCTCCCGCTCAGGCACCTGGCAAAGTTCTTGGACAGCCATTTGGCTAACAATGTCATCCTGGAATATGCACTCATTGGTGCAGGCATTGTGTGCATCCACCTTTGAGGAGAAAATGCCGTGGACTTGTAGGCTTGTATTAGACTATAGTATGCTGTAGTTAAATTGTATAGTGCCGCTTTTATTTTTTGTGTTTGTTATTGTTTGCCCTGTCATGTTACTGTAATGGTAAATTTTTTATGCAAAGTGGCACTTCTTGATCAATCTATATGTACAGTCCCCTAGATGTGTCAGATTCTAATTCAGGAAGAAAGTGCAAATTTAAGGGCTAGTTTTTTTTTGTTAGACAAATTAATAATGTGCAACTACATATGAGAAATATTAATCAGTTCTCATCAATAGGTGCTAATTGAGTGTGTTATGTGTTTTTTTTTTTTTCAGTAGTGAAGCATGCTGGTCTGTGTAATCATATTGTGGTTTCGGCTTATAGAACCCCCAGTTTAATTTTCTTTTTCTTTTTTATGCTAGTATGTTAAGACGATGTACATGCTATTATTCCACCACAAACATATGATCTTTGCTAGCTCAATAGTGCATCTGCACCTGTTGTTTTGCGCTAAAATGATTTGTGCTCTGCGTAGCCAGTTCATATTGTGGCCTTGATTGTGTGCTATCAAAATTTAGGATTATCCATAGTCATTCCTAGCTACTTTAGTGACGATGAGCACCTAATATTTTTATCAGCATAACTGGGCGTTTTTTTCTGAATGCCGAAATAAAAAAATACTATGCATAATTAAGAAGGAACATTTTCTTTGAATAACTATTTTACGCTGAAAGGATCCCCAGTTTAATCATTGCAGCTCACCTAAAGGTGTTGGCTTATGCAGATGTTTATCTAAGTTACCAAAAGGACTTTAATAATACTAATTTGCCTTTGCAGTCTAGGTAAGGAGAAAGTAAAGAAAGACAAAGTGGGAGTAATATTCAAGGTGCTGTCAGGTGTTCAGCAAGTGATTCACTATAATGCAAGCTCCGTAGCATATGCCTGTTTTTCTTTTCACTATGTTCTAGCTCCAGTTTTGGTTGCATCCACTCTACCACTCCTTGCCACATTTTACAATCTCATTGACCACTTGGATGCACACAATTCACTGTTGTTTTTTAATTTAGGGTTTTTAAATATATGGTGTGTTGTCAAACTAATTTAGCATAGACCATGACCTTAGATTTGGCTATGTCTTCAATGTTCATAGAAGGCTTTTTATGGCTTGAAAATATTCTTCAATTCATGTTGTCAATGAAATGTTAGCTGTAGAATCCTCTGTCAAGCAACATGGCATTTTCTACAGCGTTAGTCACATGCACAAAGCCTTAAACTCCTGAATATTTTTCTGTTTGACCAATATTTTTGCTCATTTGTTTTAACTGTGTACTACTACATCTACTCTATTAAATTCAGCCTCTTTTTTTAATTTAGCTTCTTTTTTATTTCCCACTTTCTTTAGTTGAAACTGCAACCACTGACTACTTGCAGGTGACAAATAGTACTGCCAGTCTACTTTTGCAAATTTTATTGGCAGTTTCACCTAGTTGTGCTGACCATAGTGTGCGTGCTTTTTGCATGGCCCTATATCATACGATGCTTACAGTGCTACCAAGAAAGTTCGTTGTTCGTTGGTCATAGTTAGACGGTTACTACTTTCTTTTTTCCGCTTAAAAAAGCCTTTCTGCTGAAGCAGCGATTGAAGGCTTACCCAAATGTGTGCACTGAACTTGATGTTCGATGAGAACACATTGAGTCTTCATATTAAAATTGTCACATATTTTTTAATACCATCCAGAGAGTGCCTGGAGTTTGGTGGTTGCACTGCTGTTAAGCCTTGCAGGCCTCATCATCTGCTTCAGGGGTCATCGATTCTTTTCGTTTCGTAAGTGTGCATCCTCATCGACGCACTAGCAAGATGTGTCCCAAAGATGTAACTGAACATTTCATTTTCTTCCAGAGATGTTCTTCTTTGGCTTCCTCGCATTTTCTTTAATAAGCTTTATGGTCTTCATTGCTATAACAAGGGCGCCTGCACGTGGTAAGTATCCATATTATTTGTTATTGTGATTCTCATCAAGCACAATTGCATTAACTGCCTTTTACTGGTTAATGTCATGGTGCAAATTACACAATATGATTTGCCATGTTTTGTATGTGAAGATATCTCTCTGAAATTAGGCTTAATAATCTGCGAACCATTTGTTTGCAAGTAATACGGGCTCGATTGAGAAGTATCTCTTGTAACAAGGAGAGTACGCTGTCGCTAAACAAATTAATGGAAAGATGCAATTATGAAAGTAGAACCATTAAAATAAAGCAAATGGTTTGAGAAGTAGAACTGACATCTATCATTTTCGTAGCCTAAAGCTACACAAGAGATTCATATGATTTTTTCAGAAAGAAAGCTTGTTATTTAAGACAAGATTTTTCTTCGTCTATATTCAAATTCGGTACCTGTGCTTTTTTTTTGTGTGTGTGTTGGTCAATCTCTATTCATCATTGTCGAAGCTAACAACTGCGCAATGAAAGTCGAAAAGGGAAAGAATAGACTTAACAATGTGTGATAACTATATTATAATTTATTGCATTTGAAATTACCGATATGACAATAATATTCTAATGAATCAAAACAAAGAAGAGAAGGCAGAAAGGCGATCTAAGACATTTTGTCACCACCTTTCAGTCACAGCTTGAGTGCAAAGGAATAGCTAGGAAAAGCAGTCCATGTTGACAAGAAGTTGGCCATATAGAGTGATGAGGTTGGATTTGGCAGGTACAAAGAGCTTTTGCTTAGTGTAGGCATAGAGCAAGAGTAGCTCTCTGTGAAAGGTCTTTGTTTTGAAGTGTACTCAAGTAAATAGGGTTAAAGCAGAGTGATGTTTTTGAGCTATTGCAGCTTTTTTGCTTATGATAAAGTTCTGTTTAATAAACACAGCCCTCACATTTTTGCTGAGTTCTTATCTTTGAACAGTTAAATGCTTTTTTTTTCTTCTGTGCCATGGGACCATATACTGTATTTACTTGATTATAACATGACAATGATTCTAACGTGAGGGATCACTTTTCATTGCATCCAGGGAAGAAAGAATTAAGCAAAAATAACATGATAATGTGCATCATTCCACTCTTTACATAACTTGAACTTCGATATTCAGTTGTGACAGCTGGTCGACTTCTGGGAGGAAAAAATCTCGAAAAAAACTCTCATTGCATTTGAATGAATACAGTGAGCCTTACTTGAACCTCTGAGCTAAGTCAAGGCTTAAAGTTCATTAATGATATTTACACTGCTACGTACTGCCGACTTAACTTTAACAGCAAAGCACCAATATTGTGTGTGTGTGTCCGCTCACTTGTAAATGCGCAGATGGACTCCTTGCTGCCTTGCTTGGAGGGGCGCTTGGTGGATTGATATGGACGGCCGTCTGGTGGCTGTTTGCCATCCCTGTACTGTCTATATCATTGTCGGGACTCACCCTTGGTTTTCTGGTTGCTGCTACTCTTCTCTTCACCCCTCTAGGCATGTGCTCCTCCATTAGTAATTCGGTTACGCCTATCGCACCCACTTTCACGGCTGCTAATGGGTGCCACTTGCTTTCGTGTAGGTGAAGTAGCATTTCTTCAGAGCAGCCTGAGTTACTGGGTCTTCATCAGCTGCTTTATGCTGCTGCCAGCTCTGCTGTTGCTTCCACAGGCCAAGGTGGTGAGTACTCATTCCGCACAAAGGGCTCGAGAGTAAATGATGAATGCAAAGTCAAATAAATGCTGAGAATCGCAGTAAAGCGATTGTACCTTGTACTTAGTCTCACTGCTTAGTGTATCAAGTACTTGTTTACGAGTTTGCAGCAAACGACCGGCAGCTTACATCACACTATTACATATCCTAACATATTTACCATTCTTGTTATAGTTTCAGCATTTTTAGAAGTATTGGCACTGCCAAGGCGTGTAACTTGAGTTCATCATAGCTTTGCAACCTTTCACAGGTTTAACACATTGTACCAGGTCAGCAGGGCATTTTCTCCAATGCCTGTTTCATTGTTACCAACAGCCGTTTCACTTGAGCTATATCATCTGCAGCCAAAATTTTGCACAACGCTTCTACACTTTGTTTCTCCAAACTGCATCATGGGCATGGAAATTATGAAATGCTTACACTTGGAAAAGAACTGCCTATGGTGAAGGAAGGGTCCATAAATGCTTTACTATAGACAACACTGCTGTAATATAGATAGGTGTCACTAGGCTTTGTTTTATGCCCTGGAGATTATCCGCTATATCTGAAGTTTTTTTTTTATGTCCCTTTTATTTTTTATTTTGTAGTTGAGTGTGGTGTCTTGCTCCTTGGTTGGTGGCTACTGCACCATCTTAGCAGCAGACCAGTACTTGGGCACATCACTGTCCTATGTGGTGCTGAATGTTGTGCGACGATCCTTGATTCCGGGTGGCTACCAGGCCAGCAACACAGTTCCCTTCCAACTGAATGGTGGGTCAGTTTAATCAAAAAGTGTATATTTTCATGTTTTTATAGTGATATTCACGTTTGCTGATTTTCAAAATGTTCAATTGTGCATTTAAAATACATGTAATCCTCGTGGTGCTATGGTTATTAGATACCTGACAGCAAAAGTTTTCCTTGGTACTTTTTTGCAGTAACTTGTAGCTTTGAGTATAGTAATGCCGAAATTGAATGTTAAATACTGTGATGCATTATATTTTACGTATTTATTAGTGCTAGCATCGTTAATTCAGAGCGATTTTGCATAAGTACCAAAGGCCTGCCTAAATACAGTAAGAAACAAGTGTTCCACAGTGGGCCAGCTCCTGAGGGTATGTGTGTTGAAACTTAATTGATACTGAATGTGCCATTCTCAAACAGGGGGATTTGCGAGTGGTGAAAAATGGAACTATGTGTGTGCTTCGAGTGTGTCCCCCTCATAAGTAAGAAAAGCATTTCTGGCATGGGCTGCCAAAACCACCTTGAGAGCATCTAACAAGAAAGCAAGAGGGGTGACGAGCAATAGCCCTCGCTGGGTGCCAGTCTGGGTACTATGCGTGTCCTGCAAATGTGCTCCGACACCAACAATACTTGCTTGACCTCCGCAACGTTATGCGAGGGCCCTTGTCTACGTCCAACTACAGAGATTGTCGATTGGATTTGAATACTTTGATGAGCATGCACCCTTACTGTAAAACTATTTTAAAATATCCTATGAGCAATGGTTGCTACTAATAATTGGTCAGAAGTGGCCCCGCATGCTGGTTCATTCAAAGAACACAAGCACCTCAGTTTCCAAATTTTCTGTCAGTAGTCCTTTAAGAGGATGCTCTGAGCAGCGCTTTCGCATTGTAGCTTCAGCAATCAAAAGACGAACTACTGCTTCTCATAAGGTGCTAATTGTGTGATGAGATATTGAGGCCGTAAAACCAAAAACCCTTGCATTGTTAATGTATCCCACTTACGACGAACCACAGATGCAACTCTCTAAGTGCATATTCAAATGCAATAGAAAAATAATAGCCGACATCCGACTGCCTTGCTGCTCGTTTTTACCAGCATTTGGGATAAGTCGTGTTTACGCCATGTGTGACTGCAAGGTATAGTTAGCCCCAAGGAGCTAAAATTTAATGCTCGAGTGAAATTGTTGACGGCACGCCTTTGCAAGACAGTATCTGCCTGTTGCAAGCACCATGTAGCGCCTCATCGTGTTTCCATACTCATAATACTTTGCTGCTTACACTCATACAAAGTGCAGCTAACTGTAGTCCTTTTATTGTAAGACGCCCATGAAAATTCTATTAGGCACACAAAATTGGCTATCTGCAAGTGTTCAGTACAAAAATAGTAAAGCTTGTATTGAAATGGTTAGGAATTGGTATATTTTTCTTTATGTGTATTTTTAAACTATATATATTTATTTTTTAAACTATACTGTACAGCCAGCAACAATGTATGCCCTCACTAGTTTATAAAGGGTGGCTTAGCGCCTGTGTTTGCGAGCGCAAAAGTTTTTTCTTTCAATAGAAGTTTTAAATGTTGGAGAATGGTTCAATCTGTGGCATTAGGCCTCTCGATTTTCAATGCTGTTTTATCTCGTTGATATAATGCATTAGAGTGCCGACAGTACTGGCAGGTGCTGGACAAATGGTAACTTTTGGTTTTGTGTCGTAGTTGCTTCATACATACTAGTACAGCTTTTCTTTCTCCGTGAAGGACAGTTAAAAGATGAAACTTATGCATTAGTAGCTTGTGGATCTAGGGGATCTTGAAATATTCATTGTAAGGAGGGTGTGTTTGGCATGAATCGCAGACGTCCTGCTCTCCATGACTTGGGCCGCGCTCTTCGCGCTGGGCACAGTGCTGCAACTATGGTCCGAGCGTGGCAGGGCGCCCTTCCCCCAGTCGCCGTACCACAAGTGGATACGAGATCGCAGCTCTGCAGGCCAGCCTCTGTTGGCGACGACGCAGCTCCCTCCACCCACATACGGCAGCATAGTTGGCAATGCGCCCCCCTATGAACCACCGCCTAGCTACAACTCTTATTGATTAAGGCAAGGCTTTTCCTCATAGGTGCTGTTGCATCCTTCATCGAAAGCCCGTATCTCTAAAGCATTCCTCCACTCAACACCCAACCACAAATCATGGGATGTGGAGGGCAGCGCTGCTACTTGAGTGAAGTAGGCCCCGCACTTGAGCAATGCTCGTCACTGGTTAACATTTTATTCTGGCGCTAAGCATCATCTTGAAGGCATGGAAGTGAAAGTGCGCTTATGTGGCAAGTTCTTCCCATTATAATTGTGTAACAACAGTGTTGAAGCGTGGGCCATCGTAGACCAGTTGCCCACCTCAAGGACTCGAGAAGAGATCAAATGATCTTTTTCATTTGCGGATACGACATTTAGCCTTTCCGGCGGGACGTGAAGATACCACAGCATATGCCCGAGTGACAGAACACGTCGCCATTACTTGTGTACTATATGGCTATATTTTACACTGCACTAGTCAGAACGGTTGCAAGTATTTGTATGTTTGTAATGGAATGAGTGTAGTCAAATGTTTGAGACTCATGAAATAGTACTGTTGCATGTAACACCACGCGAGCGCATGGCCACCGGCACTGCAAAGTAGTATCGTAGTGCTAATAGTGACGTGATTTCTAGTTATTAGGAGATGGTTTGGCTGTTCCTGCAAGTGCGCTTCGGCTCCATTAGCTTTCAACAATAAATAACTTCAAAAGTAACATTGTGGGTGGAAGCAAGCAAGTGAGGGCAATGCACACTCGCAGGAAAAGCTTACTTCTCTCCCTAATAACTAAAAAGTATGCAAGGATCAGCGCCACTGCATAACTTTGTAGTGTGGTCAGCGTATGGTGTCGCTCATACAGAGCGCAATAACCTTTACACCTTGCAGCTATGAGGTGCCACCTTTTCTTATCTCTCCCTGAGAAGGAGCTGGCTTATCATGTCGCATGAAAATTTATGTGCCAGATAAGAATCGGAATATAATTTTGATCACATTGTGTATGGTGACAGTAATAATATACTGTTTGTTGATGCTGATTACATGACACTCATCATTTTTCTTGCCAAATTCAGCCCGAATTCTTTTCTTCCTTTGAGCTTTGTTCCACTCGTGTTTTTAATATGGAGTTGGGAAGTAGGGTCACCACACAACTGTTTGATTAAGCAGGCATGGCACCAAGAAGCTGTACCGTGTGTCTGGTGTGCACCTGAGACAAGCTGCAGTAGCTCAATCTGTGGCCTCATGCCTCCTGATTTCCAATGCTGATGGAGATAGTGTGACAGCAGAAGGCATCTCAGAATGACGCTCACTGTTTTCTTTTATTTTTTTCTTGTCTTTACCGAAAACTCTTTGGGATGAGCTATAATAAAAGTATGCCTCTTGACATTTCTAAAGTGTGTGCCTATTTTGTTCTTCAGTACAGTTCTGTACACGCTCTCCAAAACATCACTTTCGAAGGTCCACATAGATGACACAAAAGAACAAGCTGCCGATATGGTGTGCAAATTAATGCTACCATCTCGAGCCATCTCTGGCAACACTGCAAACATTCTGGCATTTCAGATGTGCGAGGGAAAGGAAACAGAAAAGACGCCACAACTGCACTGCTTTAAATGCAAACAACCAAACAAAAACTTCACTGTGGTGCCACATTGGAATGAGGGCAGTGTAGCGAGTATTTCATTCACTCGCCTATGAGAGCACACATATTGTCAGTTGGACTGCATTTGCAATGTCAACACAGTGTTGTGTGCGCAGGTTAGTGACGGATGGGTTGTGTTTGCACTGCCCGAGAAACTTGTCATCGAGAATTCTTGGCCTAGGAAGACGAGCTGCTGCTTGATTGCAATGACGACATTGACAACAACCGAGACAGCCCATTTAGAGGATAGTAGATGGAGTAGTCAAGTGACACGTTAAGAACAACAAAAAGAAAGAACTGGGGCGCTCACAAGTGTGGTCGACTAGAACAAAGGTCCTTATATTCAGTAGCGATCTCGGTAGCTCTTGCCAGCATCGACTGGTCTTGTCGTCCAATGCGGCTGCGACGAGCGGCGGTCGAGGCACACGTGTTTGGAGTGTTCATGACACGCGTTGAAGACTACAGCAAGTGAAGGCAGCAGAGTTGCTTTGTGATCGTTTGTGCAGTTACTTCTTGCCAGCACATGTTCCATTGCCAATACATATTCACAACACATAGCAACACAACCATTGCCAGCACATGTTCCACTTTGACCATGTGCTTGCTTTATCATCACAAATTGTTATAGTAGTGCTAAACCGCACGTGTTCAATGCATGAGTGCATTGCTGCAAACTTTGCCTTTCATGCCGATATATAGATCAGGGGAAGGCTGGCTTACAGTCTGTAGAGAGCCGTTCAGCGATGGCATTCAAATGCCCATCTTATTTGTAGCCTTGAGAAATTTGGCGATATTGAGCATCAGTGCCAAGAACATTCACAGATTCCAAAGTGCTGCTCGAAAAGGCTTGACTTTAGCGCAACATTTTATGCCTTGCCATACTGAACCCTGTAATGTTTACAGAAAGCTGGTCATGGGTGGTCATTGAAGGGAAAAGAATAGGGGTCTGCTATTTGAGCAACTGCACACACCTTCACAAAACATGGCCACTGCTTCACACTTCTGCAAGAAGGAGCACGCACCTTTCCTGCACGGTTCATCAGAGTTCTGCTGTGCGCTGCTGGCAAGGATTCGTGCGGACTAGAAGAGTGAAGCCAAGCTTCCTTTGTGGGCGCATGTAGCGCGACTAGTCCTTGTTGGCGCAAGTGGCCGGGAAGTGGTCCTGGAGGTTGGCGTACGACCTGCTACCCTTGGCGAGGCTCAGGTCGGTCGGGTACCCAACCATGGGCCATTGTCACTGCAGTCGGGGCCAATAGTTGGACGGCACCGAGAGGTCGGTTGTTTGGCCAGGGACTTGCACTGGCACCGTCACGCCTGGAGAGATGACACCTGCGCATAGCGAAAGACAGCAATGACATATGCTCGAGACCACCGAGAACCACTGATTCTGCAGTGGTGCATAGGTATGTTGATGCATTGCAGCAGCTTGTACAAGCTAGCCAGAGAGAGCTCACAGATGCAGGTGCATGTTTCACAAACAGTATGCAGGCACCGAACTGTAGGAAATGCCGTATTCATTCGCATAGCAGTCGCATTCCCGTAGTCATCACACCCTGAATTTGTCGCATTGACAAAAGTGAGGACGCCACCAATTCGCCGTTTAGCAAGGCGGCTGACTACAAGAGAGAGACGAATGCAAGAATGCCTTTCAAGGATAGTATGCGTTTGAGCGTAGAGAAAGTGCAGTTGCCATGCAGTGCCCTGCGTCATTTGTCTAGCAGTTACATTAGATGCACTAAAGTCCCTAGGTCTAGGTACATTAATATGCACCATATCTCAAAACAGGCCATGTTTGTTAAGAACTCGGGGCTGCAGTGAAATCTGCGGGATTGATGGTTGGTGCTAAGCTCCCTAGATGAAAAAAGTTGGTGCGCATTGCCTGCGCTCTCCCGGCGATAGTCGCCGTGCGTTTAGCACACGACTCGATGACGCAGGGCTTTGCTGCGAGATAGCGCAAGGCGTTCGACTTATTTCGCTGCTCCTCTGAGCCTTTCGGTAGGTGTCTTCCCTTCGTCACCCTGTGACCAGATGCAGTGATCTGATCGAAGGTGCAATTTGCTCTCTCTCCGCGATTCCAGTTCCTAACCTCTTATATTGATAAAACGAGTATACCGTTTATACCATAACAAACGTAGACGTGTGATACATAAGCATCGGCAGGATCCTGTATAGAGGGGGGGGGGGGGTGCAACTCGTGTTTCATCGCGCTGAGGTAGAAGGAAGTAGTGTAGCTTGTGTAGTAATGTAGTGAAGTGAAAGCCTGCGGCGAGAACGCGCCCGAGAACACAAGCGGGACAGTGTTTCCCCGGTCGCGAAAGCAATCGGCTGCCGCGTGTCGGTCGTCTAGACGGGGCCTCGCGACTTCTTCAGTTGTACCCCACAATGGGTTTCGATAGCATTTAAGAGCAATTACATAATTCTAGCCGTTTGGCCAGCATGGTAATGCACAATATGTATTCTCTTTGCAGTACTGATTCGCGCTGTCGTCTGGGAGTGTAAAAAATTTCTTAGCATGCAACTTCCTGATGGTGCGACCACGCTTGTCGTAACTTGAAGCAATGTTCATGTCGCAAATGGCGCCTATACACCGAAAGTTTCGCCGCCATTGCACGTGCGACATTAACTATAATGGGCTTTATGGTCGGGCACCCTGTCCCGTCATAAAAGCTTTGGAGCACTATATAATCCTTGTGAAGGGCCAGTGGTTGCAGTCATGAGTAGTGCGCGTAGTTTCAACACCTGTCGATCAGGGTGAAGCCTTACGCCAGTGCCGTCAGTGCTCGAGTCGGCGAGCCGACTTCAATCGTATACATGCACCCTCATTTTCCGAACAGGCAACATGAGCGATGGTATGACTGCTCTATACGCAGCTCACGACCGGAAGACCTACTCTGAATCATGCGCTGAGCCGTATAGGGTCGCCGACATACAAGCGCTTTTGGCCACCTAAAGTGACCTGAGGGCACATCTTCCTCTTCCCTGGCCCCTTCCAGACCTGACCCATTTCATGGCGTCAATAAAGCGTTTTCTCTTCCTCCTGGCGAAGGCGTGCTAAAGCATAGAGTGCACTCATGGATGTCGCCTCAACGCAATGGCGTGACACCTGGTGGGCTGCACTAAAGAAAAGCAGAAATTCACAGGACCTACCTGCGGCACCATGAGGGCTGGCCCCGCTGACTGCGTACGTGGCGGGATGCCCTCCTGCGATGCCCCCCTGGCCAGCCGGGTTGGCAGAGGCCCTGGAGTAGGCGCCTAGGCCGAGGGTGTCGTGCAGCATGTACGAATATGAGGCCGCATCCCGGTGTTGTTGCTGCAGGCACGGTCCCGATCCCATACCGGCGGCCATCGGGCTGCGTGATTGCAAAGGATGGGCGATAGACACCATATATTCTATGGGTAATACAGTACATATTGGTCGCGTTTTACGTGTTTGTCACGCATGGTGGACGTCCCTAAAGATACTCTATACGGAGACAGTTTCGCTATGTAACAAAACAGAATAATGCAACATCGCGTTACACAAGCCAGCCTAGTGCCCCATTCTTGCCAAGAACAGAATCATGGAATGGCAAAATGGTTCGCTACCTCCCTCTACCCCTTTTATTTCCGTTCGGTTGAAACTTAGCTCCAGGGTGAACACAAAACTACACTCCGAGTCATTTAGGTGCGCTTATAAACCAGTTATTCTCTGATTATAGGCAGAGAAAAAGCAATTGCCTGCCTTGTGTTTTCTGAACGCCCAGTTCGCAGAGAGAAACGTAAATTGTTGATATTGTGAAGTAAATATACTACTATGGGCCGTCTTCATTCCTTTACATTTCGCAAGTTCAACGGTGAATAAATGTCTATCTGGTATAAACATGCATGAATTCGGTCAAGCTGGCTCCAGGATAATGAAAAGTTTCGGTTCGGTTCCGCTTCAACCCAAGATATCGGCCGAATTCTGAATTGCTCAGAACGCTTGCGTCTTTTATATCTTTGGCTGTCTATGCGTTTCTAAGCACCGCGTGTGCAGGGCGTGGGCGTAAACCTGGAAAGCTGCGCATGCATGCCCAAGTGAGACATTAGGCCTCGCAACCAGTCATTCTAATCATATGCGTTCCACAGTGTGTCGGGACCAGTATTACCTGTAGGAGTCCTGCATGGCTGCGGCCATGGGCTGGCTGAGTCCCGGGTACCCCGCCAGCGGACCGGCGAGTCTTCCGTGCACGGGTCCCCCACCGACGGCGGCGCTGGACTCCGCGGCACGACGCTGGCTGCGCAGCTTCTCCTCGCGCCGCCACTTGGCCCGCCGATTGGAAAACCAGACCTGATGCCGTCAGCTTAACGAGGACCACCGCCATGCAACCCCCACCCCGACACAGCATGCACCCGCCCCATATTCACCGCTCCTTTCGCATAAAGAGAAACATTTCATCTGTCTAGATGCTTATTGATAATACTTTGAGAGCGTTATTGCCGGTTATTTTATTCGAAAGAACACATTCATCAGATTTATAAAAAGTGCGTCACGGCTGTAGAGGCTCGATATGGAGCTTGTGGGAAAGATCAGCAACAGATAAGCCAGAAGTTCACTAACAGATCAACAGGAGTTCCAGCTAGGCAACAACAAACATGCCGACACGCTGCACCATATCGGACTAAACGTCGAAGTACTTCATCAGCAAGATCAGACTGAATCGCCAATAAATAAGCATTCACAGTGTGACGTCCCCGAAGGCCTGCCACATGCTCCGTGTGATTGCAAGTGAT